ATGACCAAAAAAGGCAGAACCAGTAAGGATCTAGATACTTTAAGAATGAAGGTTTAGATCAACCTACCAAATAAAAAACCAGGCCAATTGAAGTGCAGGCTGAAGGCAGATGGAACATGGAATGGATAATGGAAAAAGGAATTTATAAATATTAACTACAGCCTTGTGACTAGTTACAGAAAGAGAACTGTAGTGGTGGGACAGTTTTTCTTCCTTATTTGCGTGTGTATGTGTATCTAGATCCATATCATCTATCTATTTATCTATCTGCACATTTGTTTTTATTAACTAATTTCTTTTCTTTTGCTTCCTCTTTTCTCACTATTTTATAGAAGACTTGTTGGCAGTGGCTTGCAGGGTACTAAATATTCAGGCAGGACTGTCAAGGAATAACATTACTTAGAGACGGATTCAATGTCTGTTGGGACTGCTTATTTCCCCTTTTGGGGGAAAAGGTGAGAGTATCTTTGTATTAATATGAAGGACATTGCAACTTGTTATACAAAAAAAGCACACATTTTTTGTCTTTGTTGTATGGAAGTTTTGGTACNTCTCCCTGGTAGAGATTCACAGCACACATTCATTCCTTGATTTGTTTCATGTACACTTAATGTGCTTCTGCCATGTGCCTGGGCCTGTGCTTGGTTTTGAGGCTATAGCAGTATGCCAGTTTTTAGGCAGAATTTTTGCTTCCTGTCCTACAACTTTGAACTTTACTGGTTCACAGGTCTTAGTTCTAAAGGAGGAACGGTCACATCAGGTGATGCAGTGATGGTTCTGCTGAATTGGGTGTTGAAACAGCCACCTGGCCATTTTGGCTCCTTATGACACTGAAATGACAATCAAGGAAGGGGAAACTGTACTGGCTGGAGTGACTGTTCCTGATTGCTGGGGGAGACTGGGTTGCTGCTATTCAGTGGGGGAAAGGGGATGCCATATGGAACCCTGGGGTTCTCTAGGGCACCTCTTAGGACTTCCAATCCCATTGTAAAAGTTAATGAAAAACTAAACCAACCAACTAAATGACCAAAAAAGGCAGAACCAGTAAGGATCTAGATACTTTAAGAATGAAGGTTTAGATCA